GGGGGGGGGGGTTATGGGGATAAATAAATAAATCAATGGCAAATATTCACTGCTAAAATCTCAGGCATGGTTATGAAAGTTCGTATTGTTATTATGACACCAATGTGGAAATGCACTCCTAAAGATAAAGTTTCCAAAAAGGAATTTTCCCAGCTACGTCATAAACCATTTTTGATTCCCCAAAGAACCCTTAAAAGAACCATATTTTCTTGGTGTGAAGTACATTTTGTATAATGGAAAGGTTGCATAAACGGGAAAGGTTCTACATGAAACCATCAATCCCAATAACAACAACAACAAAACTTATTTTCAACCGTGTGCTTCAGAGAGTAACAGTCCACTTCAACAGTCTTACAAGCAACCCACTGGCAACATACAAAGTCATCCAAAACACAATGCAGTGGTTTAGAAACACTTCTGATAACACATATAAAGACATTAAATTCAGACATTGTTGTTAGTTGTTATCACTGAATCAATCATATTTTTGCTGCTTTACACAAACAACTAAAAACAACACCGAAGAAATCCATCCACTCGCTGTGAACACAAAATAGTCCAGTCTCTAAAACCAATCTCTTCACAGCCAAAAGTAAAAGGAAATATTGATCTTACCATATCTCTCTGTTCCCTTGTACTAGAACCCTCCATTTTGTGTCCAAAAACTGAATCCATACATGATTATTCCACATATAATTACTGTAAATTCCAGGTCACAGTAGAAAAGCCACAACCATTTTGTCTGTTTGGAGAAAAGAGAGTAAATATCTAATGTAGGTATCCACAGGCCCAAAACACCTGCAAGGAGGAAATACAGGTCGAAGAAGGCATAGAAACCAAGTTAAAAGTCACCTACACTTCCTGTTGTGTCCAGAATCTTAAAATTACAAAACATTGTTTTAAAAGGCTGTTGCTATAAATGAAACAGCTTTTCTGACAAGTAATAAAGTTGCCTTTATGCTCTTTTAAAAATGAATTACTGAGATTAAACTGAGATCAAATGTTGAATGTGTTGCAGAAATATAGATGAACTCTTTGACAGTTTCTTAGTATAAAGGTCATCTTGCTTCAGCCTTTCTCTTCTTTCTGTGTACAGAGATAAAAAGAAAGTGTGTGACACAGTGACAGTGGGAAAGTATGAAATATAAATTTGGAGAAAGGAACAGAGAAGGAATGTCAGTGACTCCTGTGGCGAAATGAAAAATTATCTCTTTGGGATAGTCAGGATTTCCATTCATTACCCTTGGATGCAGTTATCAGTCATGAAGTATTCATACATTGAGACAGAACCCTCTCACGGTTGGCTCTGATTAACAGGACACCTTACACAGTTTGGATTCATAATTCACACTCCACAATAGGGATTATTAGACCACTGTATGCCTAATAAGTCTGAGATAGAATGAAACATTTGCATCTCTTCATATGTAAATCCTCGAGGGTTTCATTAATAACCAAGGTTATTAATCAGGAATTCAAAATACCCTTACCCTCTTTTACCCTTAAATATGAAAACACATTATAAAAATACAATTTTAAGATGTTCGATTATATAAAATATTATATACATATATGATTATGTTTATCTTATTATATACAAGTGAAACAATCATAAACCAATTCAATATTTGTGTGTAATTGTTTTTACTATTTATTCATTCATGTATTATTTTTAATTCATTATTAATAGCTAATAATAATGCATATAATAATAGCATAATCATTTTTCTAATGACATAAAGTTAGTGTACTTGGTTTAGCAAGTTGAAAGATAAGATATAGAAATATAAGAAAGATAAATATAAATATAACTTAATTTTTATTGTGATCATTTCCAATCAAGCTTTAATTTTGTCTAATTTGTCTATTTCAATGTATTTCAGACACATAAAACGTTAATTAATATTAGCCTTCACAAGGTGTATCATTCATATTTAAATTATATTGATGTGTTAAATTATATTGAGTGATGCATTCGACATTTAGGGTTAGGGGTTTGAAGCAATCTACGCACACATTATTAATCAATCACAAACAATCACTAATTTAAGTAATCAATCTTAATTTACCATGATGATCATTGACAAATGATTTCAAACAAACTCACACATGCTGCCGTGTGTTTTGAGTTTGAGCTCGGTCAAGTTAATTCTTTGTCGTCTGATTTTTTTATCTTAAAATCAATTTTATACACCATCATTTTCGTTTCTATAACGTGTGGACAGATTCTGTCGCCTCTGGCTTGCTTAGTTGGGGACACTTCATTTCCAGCGATACCGTTGACTTGATTGCAAATATACTATTTAAACTGAGCTGGATGTTGACATCACTGAATTCAATGATGAACTGTCTTTAACTGAAAAATTAGTGTTTACTATTGTCATTTTGCATTATTGACACTATTTTCCTAATTAATGCTGTTCAGTTGCTTTGACACAATCTGTATTGTTAAAGGCGCTATATAAATAAAGGTGACTTGACTTGACTTGACTTGACATGCAAAATTAATGTATGTGTATGAATGTGCATTTGACGATATTTCACATCAGATGAAAAGCAACATAACGTGACTTCTACAAAGTATTACCACAGCCAATCCTTACCATAAGCATATTGAATCAGACCAAAAGCAACAAAACTCTACATACTGTACCAAACTGTATCATTTACCAAGATATACTTCCAAATCCAGCAGCTGACAGCAGCCAGAAGTTTTCCTGTAAATTAAATTCCCATATTACTTCACAGAGGAGATGAAACGCACATTCAGAATTCCCAATGGCTCTTAATGGAATTCATGCAAAGCAAAATACAGATGAATCCATTAAAGAGGACATAGAGATTAGCAGAAAAATTCATACACACACTGTAAAGTTCAGAAAAAAAAACTTGCCTTAACATTCATTTGTTGTTTTTTTTAAGTAAAAATAAATGCAAAAATAAAGAAGAATCCAACATTCAACTAAAATGTTACAACATAAAGTCTGAAAAATCTTTCCTTCATGAAGTGTATTGCATCAATGCATCAATATGTCAATGAAGGAGGAAAGAAAGTCATGGGGTGAATTCAGGTTGATTGGGACATTTTTTTGATGTTGAAATTAAATGAATCATTCTGAATTAACAGATTTGGAACAACATGATGATGATTAAATGACTACAGAATGTTCAATATTAAGCGAATTATCTTATTAAATTAACAGTGCACATATTATAATACGACTTCAGTTTAATTCATATTTAAAATTGAATTTATGCTGTTGGTAAATCCTTATTTTAAACATTATTCTCATCCGTTCAGGCAAC